AACAAAAGGCTCCATTATTTATGAGTTTCAGTTCAAAGTAGTTTAATGCGAATTTACTAATATTTTAATTCAAAAGGAAATACTGTTAGCATATATTTAGCACATCGCTGTTGGTCCAGATGTTTACAAGAATGATCCCAGGGATGAAGGAGTTGCCATCAAGGGTTACTGGGAGAAAGCAGGAGAATGGGGTTGAGAAACATATCACCCACGATTGAATGGTGGAGCAGACTTGATGAGCTGAATGGTCTATCTGCTTCTGCTTCTATCTTATGGTCTCTGGCTATACTTGAGGGAGCCCAAAAACACCAATGAAATAATGCAACAAATGCAAGGTTGCAAATAATTACAAAGTGCAAATAATCACCAAATGAATTTCAGCAAAACATGAAAGAGGACATTAGGGGAAAACGAGAAGGTCACATTTGTCTGTCAACCACTGTAAATGTGATAAAGAAACTAAAGAATCGAACAATTCACAATAACTAACACAAGTAACCATGGCCACTAAAAAAACGCTTCACTTGGAAAAGGAGGTAATGTAAAAAGAAACAGGTTATGCTAAACTTCTATTGAAACTTGGATTCGATCACAATTGGAATGTATTTTTATTTGTTTATGGGACATGAGTAACACTGCCTGGTCCAGCATTTACTGCCTGTCCCTAGTTGTCCCTTGAGAAGGTGGGGCTGAGCTGCGTTCTTGAACCACTGTAGTCCATGTGCTGTGGGTTGACCCACAATGTCCCTTAGGGAGGGAATTCCAGGATTTTGACCCAGAGACAGTGAAGGAATGGTAACATATTTCCAAGTCAGGACGGGGAGTGGTTTGGAGGGGAACTTGCAAGGCATGGTGTTCCCATGTATTTGCTGCCCTTGTCCTTCTAGATGGAAGTGATTGTGGGTTTGGAAGGTGCTGTCTGAGGATCTTTGGTGAATTTCTGCAGTGCAGCTTGTAGATAGTACACGCTGCTGCTACTGAGCGTTGGTGGTGGAGGGAGTGAATGCTTGTGGATGCAGTGCCAATCAAGCGGCCGCTTTGTCCTGGATGGTGTCAAGCTTCTTGAGTATTGTTGGAGCTGCACTCATCGAGGCAAGTGGGGAGTATTCCATCACAATCCTGACTTGTGCCTTGTAGCGGTGGATTGGCTTTGGGGAATGAGAGCAGAAACGTGCACACCATATTACAAAAAGGATCCAGACACTGAAGAAAGCCCACACAATTTACAAGAACAATACCTAAAAAGAGAAAATATAACTTGGAGGAAAAGACTGAACTGGATTGGGCTCTTTTGTGCAGAAAAGGCCAATAATTGATACAGTTATAAATGGAGTTTGATCGAACATATGGAGAGATGATGTTATGTATTTGTTGGGGAGACTAGGGCTAGGGTCCTTTTACACAAGACAAGACTGTCACTAATAGATCCAATCAGGAAATCAGAATTTGTAGAGCAGTGATTGGGCGATATGAACATATGTTTAAGGGGAAGCTGGTTAGAAGGTAAAATTACTGGGGCCTTCTTGTGGTGCAATAGTAGTGATCCTACCCCTGGACCTAGAGGTCTGGGTTCAAGTTCCAACTGCTCCAGCTGTGTGTAATAACATCTCTGCACAGGTTGATTAGAAGAATAGGTTAAATTTTTAAAAATAAGTAAGGTAAAGTCACCGTAGTTCCAGAGGACTGTTCTCTCATTAGTGGTTGAACTGGAGCAACTAGATAAATACAGGGAGGGGAAAGGGAGAGATGGGAGAGATGGAGATGGTGACAGTGAGATGGACGAGGGAGGAACTCTCAGGCTGTGGAAACACCAGCAGAGAGCAGTTGGGCTGAATGGTCAGTACTAGTTTTTTTTTGATAATTCACAATTACTGCATTGCCAACCAGTCACCCCTGAATCTAACACCTCCCATCACCAGTGACTTACTGGATCACCACTATAATTCACCTGGAATGACCTACATGCACAGTTGCCTTGGTGATTCTAACAGGACTCTTGTACATTAACACTCAACACTGACGACTGAGCTATGAATGTAACCATGGTAATCAGGGATCTCTCACTTACCTTTTACATTTTAATAATCATTCTTAAACCTGGTACCAAAAGCATTCACGAGATCAAGAATAATATAGAAACTAGCAGCTTAAAGATCCCACACATTGTCAGCAAAAGGTAATTACCGTCTCGACAGTTTGAGATTTTGCCACGATTCCAGTATGTTCTCTCAAGACAATAACATCAATCTGGAACACAGTCCTGTTGCTCCAAGCATCATTTTCAAAATATATTTACAGGGACAGAATTGTCAGTGTTGGGAATGTCCTGCAAAAACTATCATCTTTTGTTTTGAAATATGATTGCAGTTCGAGTTGGTCTATGGACTGATACATCAATACATTTACATATATTTTATATTGACTCAGACATGTACTCACTCATAGAACTTGCCTTTCGATAGCACCTGCCATGACTTCAGGATGTTCAAAGTGCTTCACAAAGCGAGGAACTGCACCAATTTGCTCACAACGAGGGTCCTTTATGAACAGTAAAGTGACAGTGACTGGGTAAACTGCTCCTGTGGATTGCTGGCTGCAGGGTGACTGTTCAATAAGAGCTTGCCCCTACAGTGGCCCTGGGACCTTTTCTCTCACCTGGAAAGGTAGTCAAGTCTCTGTTTAACATCTCATCCAAAAGACTCAGTCTCCGATAGGGCAGCTTGACCCTCAGTCACCCTTGCTCACACAGAAACATAGAAGATAGGAGCAGAAGGAGGCCATTCAGTCCTTCGAGCCTGCACTGTCATTCATCACAATCATGGCCGATTGCCCAACTTGGCCTAATCCTGCTTTCTCCCCATAACCTTTGATCCCATTCACCCCAAGCGCTATATCTAGTCACCTCTTGAATACTTTCAATGTTTTGGCATCAACTACTTCCTGTGGTAATTAATTCCACAGGCTCATCACTCTTTGGGTGAAGAAATGTCTCCTCATCTCCGTCCTAAATGGTCTACCCCGAATCCTCAGACTGTGCCCCTGGTTCTGGATGCACCCACCATCGGGAACATCCTCCCTGCATCAACCCTGTCCAGTCCTGTTAGAATTTTATAAGACTCTAGGAGATCCCCCCCCTCATTTGTGTGAACTCCAGTGAAAACAATCCCAACCTAGTCGATCTCTCCTCATACATTAGACCCGCCATCCCCAGAATCAGCCTGGTAAACCTTCACTGCACTCCCTCGAGAGCAAGAACATCCTTCCTCAGAAAAGGAGACCAAAACTGCACACAATGTTTTAGGTGTGGCCTCACCAAGGCCCTGTACAACTGCAACAACACATCCTTGCTCCTGTACTCGAAACCTCTCGCAATGAAGGCCAACATACCATTTACCTTCTTTACCACCTGCTGCACCTGCATGCTTACCTTCAGTGACTGACACACAAGGACTCCCAGGTCCCAGTGCACACTCTCCTCTCCCAATTTACAGCCATTCAGGTAGTAATCTGCCTTCTTGTTTTTGCTTCCAAAGTGAATAATCTCACATTTATCCAAATTATACTGCATCTGCCATTGATTTGCCCACTCACCCAACTTGTCCAGATCATCCTGAAGGATCTCTGCATCCTCATCACACGCCACCTACCCACCCACCCAACTTGGTTATCATCTGCAAACTTGGAGATGTTACATTTTGTTCCCTCATCCATTAATATATATTGTCAACAGCTGGGGTCCCAGCACCGATCCCTGTGGCACCCCGCTAGTTACTGCCTGCCAATTTGAAAAGGACCCATTAATTCCTACTCTTTGTTTCCTCTCTGCCAACCAGATTCCTATCCATCTCAATATACTTCTCCCAATCCCATGTGCTTTAATCTTGCACGTAAAAGATTAATGTGGGACTTTGTCAAACACTTTCTGAAATATACTACATCAACTGTAAATAAATATTTGTAGTGGGATTCAAACCCAAAGCTTGTGACCTTATGTTGTGATGGCGCAAAGATTATCCAAAATAAAACCCTGGACTTTGCTTTGATAAGGGATAACTGCTCTATTACAATATTTAAAAATGTGATATTTTGATAGAGAACAAATCCATTGAGGGGGTGTCAGCTCTAAGAGCTGCCCGATTAGTCCCATCCCATCCCCGTGTGTTTATCCATCATCTGGGAAATGCTCTCATTTCACTTATTACTAAATCTGCCTCAGCCACCCTTTCAGGCAGCGCATTCTGGTTCACAACAACTTACTGGCTTGTTAATTATCTTACATGTGCATACTCCGATTACCAACCCTCCTGCCACTGCAAACATTTGCTCCTTACTAAAAACCGTTATAATTCTGAACACCTTTAACTGAATCTCCCTTGTATCTATTCGGCTGTAAGAAGGTGCATGTTAGTCTGGGCTATGACCCCACTATTCTGGACTGGAATGGTGACTGGGTAACTCCTACAGACCCTGCTGCTGTTTCATTTTCTAATTATTTTGCATGACTCTCTTTCAAATATATTTTATTAGCTTTGAAGTATCCTGTGCAAGCCTTACCATAACTATCCCTCAGACTCAGCTGACAGGACAGAGACATCAATCTGAACAAAACAAACAGGGTGACTGTTGGCACCTTGGTGCTGTTCAATGACTGAGCGTAACACAAAACCTACTCAAGTTTGTTTGCAGCTAGCAGAGTCAACGTCAAGTAATTTCACATGTAACACAGCATATGGAACTGCACCAATGTCTTCTGACAGCAACAGGTGAGGACTCCAGCAAAAATCCAATCTTTGGAGAACACTTTAAAGAGTGTGTGCGAAATGAGTCAGTGTTGTGTTTGACAGGGTGGCTTCCAGGCACAACCAGTGAAGATATCATACAATGATCGCCATCTTTATGGGAGAAATTGTTAAGATTATATACACCGTCAATTTTGATAGACTTGGAAGTGAACAATCAGTTACCTCACAGCAAAACCACTGAAGAAACATACACGCCAGTTAAGTTCATGCATGTTTTATTGAAATAGTAATATAAAATACTTCCTTGTTGTTACAAGTGCATGCTTAAACTGCTGACGTTTCAGAGGTCAAATTACAAAGGCAAGGCATTCAAGGTTGTAGTGAATTACTTGGGCACATTTACTGTTGTTTCAAAAAAAAATCAATGGATCATCCATTATGGACCAGTTTTCAACCATATCGTCAAACCCGTAACTGATATACGGTGAAATGTGTAAATACACTAAATGTTTTATTGTGGCACAAAAAAAAGTCAGACTCCACCATCGTGACTAAAACAGTGTCATGCATCTAGAGTTTTACATGTACCCACATATCAATTGTTTAATTTTCACAATGTTTGATAAACATGCTAATCTTCTATATGTGCACTTGTGTGTACTGAAAAATGTTCAGTTTTCCACGCCCCCTCTGAATAATTTCAAGAAGTTTCTCTTTTTAAATTACAAAAATTCAAAAGGCATTAAGCAATTTCATACAGTGAATATAAAGTATGCAAGTTTACATTTCCAGTATATGTCAGATCACTAAGCACATTACAGTCCCATATAGGGACAGTACAGCCAGAAATTGGGGAAAATACCATGCAGAGGACAGTTTTACAGACTACAGATGCTATTCACTGCATTTTATATGGTATGTCTTGTTCTTCATATAGTTAAAATAAAATTTAAAATATGAATGCGTCACTCATTAATATACAATTCCAGCAAGCCACAACCAACTTAATGCAAATAAAATATAATAAGCAGCAAAATGAATGGTAAAAGTTATAAATAAATTTCCAGTTTTTTTTTTGGAAAAAGGCTATCCATTGCCAAGTGAGTAATAGGTAAATACATAAACTGGTAGCATCCAAACACACGAAATCAACCTGAGGTAAGCAGAACTTGTACAAAAACCAAATTTAATTTTTGGCATTTTTTGTGATTTTGCAACTTTACAAATTTTTTTTTTTTTAAGACTGCCTAATTTGTTTGAAACTCTCGTAAAAGAGGAACCAAAAAGTTAATAAATAGTCCACATCTCAATCAGCTATTAGTTTGTACAACCTCAATTTTAATTTTTGTTTTAATATGTCAAAGCTGAGTTCGGCAATTGTAAACGGACACGAGAAAATTAAAGAGCTATTGGACAGAGATCCCACATCCAGTATAGTAAAGGCCTTTTCAAAACTGATCTGCAAGTCTTCCTTGATGCAAAAGGAAAACATTTTGATTATCTAATGTGTAATATTTTACCAGCATTTAACTGTTTGCTTGTCAAGAAGCAAAGGCATATTCCATCTGAGGTAACTTAACTGTCAACAATCACAAAACAATTCCTATCACTCTGTTACTGTAATCTGTCATCAACACCTAGCTCCCAGAGCATGCAGCAGTAATCAGAGGCAAGAATGTCAAACTGCTTGGGATGGCAACCATACAATCATGCCTTCGAACTGGAAACTGCAAAACGATCATTGAATATTGCCACTCTCAGTGCCATTGGCCTCTGAGCAGACCACCTTGTTGATGGAGTTAAGGGTGCTGTCACTTGGAATTCCATCGCGACGAGGGGGCATCCTCTCGTTGATACGGTCCAGACCTTTCGCCTCGGCAAAGCTGCTGATCTTATGCTGGGGAGAGAAACCTCGGATAGCTGAATAGAGAGGGGTGCCGCAGTAGTAGGACCACCGGAAGGGAGCAGGGTGGGGGTGGGGAGGGGAAGAGAGAGAGGGTTGGTGGGGGGGGGGGGGGGGGGGGGGGGGGGGGGGGGGGGGGGGGGGGGGCAAGAGAGATGGGGAGCAAGAGAAATGGGGAGAAAACGTGAATGAAATAACACCTTTTCTTCACCACAGTGGATATACAAATTCAGCATGGTTACTTGGTTAGCACATTGTGGCGTATGTATTCAAGATTCAAAAAAACTCTGATTAACGTATTTGCAATAAATCATACTCAACAAAGCAGAAGGAGCTTACAGGCAGTGATGGATTTAATAAATCCACTCTTGTCTGAAGTTAATAAAATTGATACAACAAAATCATTTGCATTAGATTTCTATTTAAGAAACCAATCAATCATTGTGTCTACAATTCTGATCACCTCATTCTACTTGAAACTGGTTTTAGCCCAGATCTGTTCTACTCGATATGCCAGAAGTAGAGAGATGGTAACTAATTCTACACTGCACTGACTTTCTGCTGGACATGAAGTTTAAACAGCGTGGAACTGACCAGAGCCAAAAATAAAAAGCTTAGTATAAATGAAAAGCTATCTTCCACTTTGTGGATTTTAACTATGAGACCAATCTGCTACACAAGGATAACTTACAATGCCGTGTGCATTTGTAACGAGGCAGAGATTTGAAGAAATGGGCCAAATGCATCCTGCTCAAGTGGCATGTTTCTTTTAATTGCACCAGAAGATGAAAGAACCTCTTCACACAACTGGACCCATTTTACTGGATTGCCAATGAATGAAGTCCAATGGGAAAATTCCAGCTTTTGTAAAAATGTGCAATTTCAAAAGTGGTAATGGATAAAACATTGAAAAAATTTGCAGAGCATGGAATCAGGAGTTATTGGATTGTTCTACTGAAGAGGGGCCACAGAAATGGCCCACTTCTACACTGCAGATGAGAACATAAACTCTCGACACTTGGAAATATCTGGGATGGGGGGGCAAGACAGGCTTGCACCTCACATAACACTAGAGATGGCCCGACAGTGGCAACGTCTCTGGCTTAGTTATCCAGAGGCCCAGGCTCATGTTTTATTGGAGAACTGGAGAACGATATGGTACAGGAAGCCGTTCAACTTATCATATCTGTACTAGCACTCTGATACAGCCATGTCAAACTGCACAACCTTCTCACTCTTCTTGTTTTTAGAAACCATGGACAAAACGAGCCAAGACATCAGCAAAGGGAACTCAGGACTCAGAAGGTTAAGAGGAAATGTCACTCGACCTGACATCAACATGTCTTTAAGGAGACAGCGACTTCATGCAGGGTGGGACTGCAGCCTATTGGGAAGGTTTAACACAGCCACAATGATTACTAACCATTCCATCTGTCAATTCCAGAAACCATGCAGCAAACAAGTGGTCAATGTGGTTATGATTAGTACAGTGGGATCCTTTCAGTAAAAAATGGTATTTCCTATAACAGCAACTCCTTTTTTCCAAGCCAGCAGCTGAACAGAATGGGCTATTTAGACCGAATAAACATCTTCAACTGCAGTCAAAATTTTGAACCGAATTCCAGATTGTGGACTGAATTGAGCAGTTTTCAAAATGTCAAACAGTAAGATGAAACACTTCTTAATTGGACGTATTTTGTCATCAGTGCGTGTTTGGCATATTCCACAATTGCATAAAGTAAATAAAGGGGAGATTAATATTTATATTTTCAGACATGTTTTCATTGCAGCAAGGAGTTATATTTGTAATTAACCATGAACATTGGGAGTTTACTGTTATTAAAGTACACAGTAAGCAGATCCCACTGAATATCACTCAAAGGTTAGTAATTATTCAGAAATCTCCCTGAAAATGCAGATGATTCAGATATCACAGTAATCCAACTTGATGATGCTGCTGCTTCTGGTTTGACAAAAGGTTAACACTATAGTTTACACAGATACTAGTAAAACAAAACACACAGCAAAGCCACAGAGTCACAAAAAAATAGTAAAAATGAATTTCCACCACCGATGCAGACTGTGGATCAGAGTTTGTTAAAAAGGAGGTTTTAAAATCATGTATAAATAGCAGCTTGGTAACCACTATTTAATCAGCAGTCAGCTTTGCTCTTGCTGAAGTAACTCAAGCCAATTTTGAAGCATCAAAGTTGTTGTTAATAGCTCTTCTGGACCAGCTTTGAGAATTTTTACAGTTTAGCCAGAAGACACAGATGGGATTTCGCAAGAACAAAGGTCACAACTGCCTAAAAGGATAAATCTATTTAAAAGCAAAGCCACACCTCAACATGGTTAATAGATGACACAGTGTTAAGGAGTGTTAGACAACTGATGGTTAGCCCAACCCCATACATCATGTACACGCTAATATATACACACATACGTAGGTATAAACCCAGCACAGCCCCCATCAGTTGTACAACAGAAAGGGGGCTGTCCAAAATATTACCTTCATCAGCCTCAATAGCCTCAACAGTCGCTGAAGAAAAGAAAAGGGTTGCAAATTGGATGAGAAAGTTGAGCTGAGAATTGATACTCTTAACAATAATGAGTAGCAAAAAAATAGCAACTGAGCAAGTCTAATACAAGCTTTAGTACTCTTATGCAGAGATGAGAAATTATGAACAACACGTTCACAAAAGACAACACACAGTCAGTGGAGGAGGAAAAAGAAATAAATGACAGTGATCACTGAGCAGAAAAATCAGTATTATTGCCATTGGTGTGTATGTGGACTGAGTCACAATTGGTTGGTTTGCAGTACCTGATGGAAGATAAGTGCAGATTCCCACAAGGGAAACTTATTAAAGGTCCATTAGGTCCAAATCACGCGCACTGACATTCTCTCATCACTGGTGAAGGCATGAAAAGCTCCTGAAAGCTGTGGTACTTGTTCTGAGTGCTCCCCAGGAATGGCTCACTCAGAGTGAAGTCTGCTTGAAGCAGCTGTAAACATACATCAGCAGGAACACGGTTTAGGTTCATACAGCTGGGAGGTGGCACAGTGGTAGTGCCCCTACCTCTGAGCCTGGAGACCCAGGCTCAAGGTGAAGGGAGTCAGTAATGGTAATGTTCTGGGATCATGGTTCAAATCCCACCACAACAGGCGGTAGAATTTAAATTCAATAAATAAATCTGAAATGGAAAGCCACTCGCAGTGATGGTGACCATGAAAGTATCACTGATTGTTGCAAAAACCCATCTGGTTCACTAATATACTTTTAGGGAAAGAAATCTGCCATCCTTTCCTGGTCTGGCCTAAATGTGACTCCAGACCCACAGCAACACGGTTACCTGTAAACTGCCCTCTCTGAAAGGGCTGCATAAAACACTCAGCAAAAGGGTAATTAGGGATGGGCAATAAGAGCTGGCCTTCCCAGGGATACCCACATCCTGTAAAAAAATAAAGTTTGCACTGGATTGAATAAGGGACACAGGTTTTACTGTGACAACAATGCTAATGCTGAACCAGAGGTTCAAACTTGTCACCATGTCTGAGATGCACAGATTAACCTGCGCTGGATGGGGGTGGGGTGGGGTGAATACTGTGTTTTGCTACTTTAATGGTTGGATTTTGTTTTGTAATTCTTGCCAGTGAAGTTTGGTTCTATCTGGGTAAGTATTAATGCTGCAAAGGACAATCCCTTTTTCTCGAAATGCTGCAGACTCACTGATTAGTGCTTCAGACAAAGTGAGTTATTGCAAGTGGAAACTCACCAGTAGTTCAGTTCAAACATGGATAGCATCAGCTCGTCAAGTGTACTCTCACTTTAAGGGCCAATTACAGCACTTAGCTGTTATTACAGTCTTTCCATACCCATGATTTTGGCATTCCACACATTCATGTCCCAGTGGGAACCCATTCTGTCAAAGATCATATTCTTCAGTTCTGGGGCAGGCATGTCCCATTCACTTGAATCTTTGCTTCCACACTCTACTCCTCCTCATTCATTCAGCATTACCCATTTCATCCTCTGAACTCCGCACGACCCAAAAATGACCAGTTTCTGCTTCTGTCCTCCCTCAATGAAATGTTAAACAAAACCAGAAATTTCTGGCAAGACTCAGCAGGTCTCTTTCTTTCTCCATACTGGTCAGAGAGTTAATGTTTCAAGTGTAGTGACCCTTCCTCAAAACAGAATGCAAAACGTTAACTCTGTTTCTCTCTCCAAGATGCTGCCAGACATGCTGAGTTTCTCCAGCAATTTCTGTTTTAGTTTCAGATCTTCAGCATCTGCAGTTCTTTATCTCAACAAAAAGCTGCCCAGAATCTAGTCTCAAGATAAATTCCCAGGAGAGAATGTATTAACTAACGCTGAGTTTAATGGTCATCAACAAAGTTAATCCAGAAATAGCAATTTTAATATTTAATAATCTGAGTTTTAATGCATTTAATATAAAGCTATGAGCACAACAGATGCAGAGAATTTCTAAAATTATTTTCAGTTCACATTTTGAATGCAAAATGAAACTGTTGGAGCAGTTTTCAACTTGGTTAAATCTGGTCAATGGGGTCTGCACAGTTTATACCCAGGACCGGACTAGTTAGTAATATGTCCCAGCATCCTGTGGCCCGTGCTGGGGATACTGACACAGGCTCAATCCCATCCTGATGACTGCAAAGATCCCCAACCAGCTGAATCTCAATTCTACAGCACAGAACGAGGCTATTCAGCCCACTTCCCTGCATCAATGGAACAGCAGTGGCATCATCTTTGGAAACGGCAATCGAGAAAGCTCAATGCCAAGAGCTGGTTTGTGATTTTTTTGGGGTGGGGGGTGGGGGCTGCGGGCTGCAGACAAGAACATGGTGCTGAGACTATGATATTATTGGATGGTGGAGCAGGTTCGAGGGGCTGAATGGCCTGCTCCTATGTTTCTCGTGTCAGCTCGAATTCTGGTTTGCAAGAGGAGTAGCAGTTAAAGAATAATCAGGAGAGAACGCAGAGAGATCTTTCTACTAAATGATTGCACACTTACTCCAAACAGAGTGCAGTAGTGAGAGCAGATTAAAAGGAAGGTGGGTCAGAGGTACAGGGGGAAGGCAGGTCTGTTGTGCTCAGGAATTTCAGACACTGTAGAGGAGAGGGACAAACACCTGTTGTGCGAAGGATGTTTGGACCACTCTGAATTCAGGGTCTATCTTGCAAAAAGCTACGGCAGGAAGAATCTTGGAGAGACTGGGAGGCGTCTTTAACCAGTCAATATCTCCTCAAGCTGATTCCTGGAGTGAGCAAATGTGCTGAATGGATCAAAATCACAATGCTCTTTGACAGAATCAGATATCATTCATTAAAATGATGTGGAAACAACGTGAGGATGACATGAGGAAAATCTTTTTCACTCAGCAAGGAGTTAGGGTCTGGAAATCTGGTGAAGGCAAGTTCCATTGTGGTATTCAAGAGGGTATTGGATGGTTATTTGGATAGAAATGCTGTGCAGTGACATGTGGAAAAGGCAGGAGATTGGCATTAGGGAATAGAACAGGTGCAGGCACAATAGGCCAAATGGCCTCTTTCTGCACTGTAACAATTCTGTGATTCTGAAAAGGAAACGTTATTAGCTTTGGCAAGGTCATCCATTGAACACAAAGTGTTTCTTAAGATGAGAAAGAATTTCTTCTCTCAGAGGGTTGAGTGTCTTTGGACTCCCTTGCCACAGAGAGCTGTGGGGGCAGAGTCCTTGTGTAAATTTAAGGCGGAGATCGATAGATTCTTAATCAGTCAGGGAATCGAGGGTTACAGGGAAGGGTCAGGAAAGTGGATGTGGGGAATGTCGGATCAGCCATGATCCTATTGAATGGCAGAGCAGGTTTGAGGGGTCGAATGGCCTACTCTCGTTCCTGTTTCTTATGACCTGAGTGAGTTTCCACAATGTTTTAAGTGAGGGACGTTTCCTGTGTAACCCAGAGTTTAATCACTTGGCCACTGATGGCTGTGCCTTCAGTTTGTCTCCGCCCTGAGCTCTAGACCTGTCTCCCTGAACCTCACTGACAACGACTCCCCCACCTCCTCCTTGAAACCCAGCTGTGACTAAGCTTTCAGTCTGTGAGCTGACATTTCTTCATATGACCTTTCATGCTTCGTTACATTTGAGAACACTCCTGCGAACCACTGCATAAATGGAAGAGTTTTTTCCCCCTGTTTTGATCTAGACTCCATCAACGTACTTGCCGTGATGAATAAAGAACAGGGTGATTTAGTGTTCAATGGAGTCACTAGCATGCTTTGATATCTACCAATAAGTATTTCTGGCAAAAATATTATCTAGCAGAGTTACCATTGAGTGAGTGGATGGAAAAATACTCCCTATTGCAGTCTTTCTGGGGAATTGGTAACCATGGTGAACACTGTTCAAATCACACCCTGAATAATTAGCAATATGTAGATTGTACCACTAAGGAAAATCATGAAGAAAACTTTCAACTTGATATAAAAATTGACTGGTTCTGTGATTTCCTTGATAGAAGGGACACTTGTACTGCTATGGTGTCTGGCCTATAGTTGACTAGAGTTAATCACTGAGCAGTTGATGTTTAATACCCTTCAAACAGTCAGCCATTCACATATAATCCAATCACAAGAGCAGCGGCCTGGATCAGACCTCACAGGAAGGTTGAGAAATTCTGAGTAATCCAGGTACAGTCAAACATGATAAATTTCAATTTCTGACAATAATCAGAGAGGAATCTTTCAGATCGTTCGGAATGAACATGGATGGCCCACCCGTCATTATCAATCTCAGTGCGTGTCAATGGCACACCTAGCCCCATCAACCCTGCAAAGTCCCTGTGACTAATATCTGGGGTTTGTGGTCATCTAGAAGGACAAGGGCAGCAGATACTTGGGAACACCACCCCCTGTAAGTTCCCCTCCAAGCCACTCCCCATCCTGACTTGGAAATATATCGCTGTTCCCTCAGTGTCACTGGGTCAAAATCCTGGAATTCCCTCCCTAAGGGACATTGTAGGTCAACCTACAGCACATAGACTGCAGCGGGTCAAGAGGCAGCTCACCACTACCTTCTCAAGGGGGCAACTAGGGATGGGTAATAAATGTTGTCCAGCCGGCGATATCAACATTCCATAAATTTATAAAAGGAGGGTGATACCTTGGCCAGGAGTTTACAACATGGCTTCAGGCATATTGAGGGAATTCGTTGCAATGTCAGTTCTACACAGGTTAAGGAATGATTATTATTTCAGCAGTTTAACGATCAGTTTAGCGGGAGCTACTCAGTCTCCTATTGATCACTCACTGGTTTCTCAATCTCAATGATAGTTTGTCAGTTGTGAGATGAACCACTCTCATTTATTGCCTTCAGTCTGACAACTGCAATCTCCCCAACACTTGGACCCAGGATGTTGATGTTAAAGGTGAAGAGAGGGCCTTTCCTGATCAAGGTACCTTTTTGACAAGTTGTGGTGACTCACTTGGTTTGGTTGACCATTGTCTCTTTCTATAGGAGGCTTCCAGGAATATCCTATGACACTGTGGTTTTACAATAGCACAGCAGACCAGAAAATGCCAATGTGTCTATTATGGTTCACATAAGTTATTTTACATTCCATCAGATACTGCAGTTATTCCAGTGACACAGCTAGTGTGTGGATCATTGCACCAATTAAATGTGCCTTTCGGTAGATTATTTAAGATTGGATATCTTTAAACTGTAGGAATATTTTTAGGATGAAGCTAAACATCCATCTTGTTTGCTGTTAAGGGTTAGCTTTTCTGTTTTAATTTAAATAAATAAGAAATGAAGTAATTCATTGACTAACAAAAGAAGTAAGTCCAGAGCTGGTGATAATCTTGGATGGTGTAGCTACACAGGAGCTGGCAGGAAAACAATCATTCCTCGACTGAGAGAGAACTGCTTTCCTCAGGGTTTCTAATGTTCAGCTTTGCCTGGTAGATGTTCGTCCTGTTCATGTTATTGCTGATCCCATGTGTCAGTTTACACAGGGGAATGATATTAGCATGAGAGAGTTAGCACCAATACACAGAACACAGACATACACAGGTACGTGGATGAAGTGAATGAAACAGGTACCTGATTCGTCTGAACAGAAGGGAGAGAGAAAGAGTATATCAGAAAGCAAATAGAATATTGAAAAGAGTGAAGCAGAGAGGAAGTTCATGGGGAGCATTGAACAGACATCCCCATTTCGCACACAATACCCAGTTCACACATACATAAATATACCAGGAGACAATTTACTTCAGTTACTTGAATGCAACAATACAAGTCAACAATCTGGAGAAATTTTAAATACCAGAAAACATGTCACTGGGTGATGGTAAGTTTCATTTGAGTCCAAGCTTCACCAACATTTATCACCCGAAACTGATACCTTCAATTACATACTTCACATGATAATAAGGGAAGGATACCAGGGTGTAATTAATCGTTCTTCTGATTCAATACAACACTTATATAAACTCTACATTCAGGAGCAATTTCTAAAACCAAAGTATAGGGTTATTAAATATATTTTAATAACTTTATAAGCATATAATTAACTTATAGAAAGGCATTAAGGGGTTACTCTACCTGCCAAGACAAGAACTTTCATTAGATTTCATGGAACTACACAACTCATTAAATTCATTCTTTTGGGATCCCCCCAGTTTCTGTTACTGATTTTCACTTCAAACATATTGTATATCAGCAGCAATATCAAAACTGTCACTATCAAAAACTTGGCTCACATTAACAGAAGGAATACAAGCTTTCAATTAAAGTTACATTTCCAAATAGCTACACATCTTGACTTTATTTCCCTGACACTTCCGTAAGTTTGACCTGCACCCAAATAAAGACAATAGAGTCAAATATTTCAATAGTTTGTTCAATTTATTTTTTGAAAGATCAAATTTAACAAGGAGAGTCATGCCCTGACTTATCATGTAACTCCTAACACACATGCAGGGATTACTGAAAAGTTATTGTATAATTTAAGGCTCTGGTGGTGCAGTGGTAGTGTCCCTACCTCTGAACCTGGAGATCTGAGTTTAAGTCCCATCTGCTCTAGAGGTGTGTAATAACATCTCTGAACAGGTTGATTAAAAATATCCAGAGTATGGTCTATTTCAAAAGGAACACCCAGGTTACCTGTAATAATTCAAACAGGAGTGATAAACAGTTTAAATAAATGTGGGCTCATTCAAAATAGCTCTTTGAGCTAATTTCTGTTATGAGGGAAGATAATATGGAGGGAATGAGAAGTGTGTGTAGGAAAGATATTATAGTCAAAGCCATTTAAATGCTCAAACTGAAAGAAACAAATCTCAAATTCCTCATCAGCTGACAGGTGATGTGTTTCAGTGAGATACAGTCCTGGCTCAGTCAGGGGCATCGCGAGAGAATCCTGTTGCAGCTTTTAAGAATACTAAAATATTGGGGAGACCTTGATAATCTTAAAAATTCAGTACCCAAATAAGGCAACATGGGTTCGTTTTAATAGGATAGTCAAGGGATTTTGAAAATCAGGGACTCACCTCCAGATTGAGAATTGTTACCCTAAAGTTTTGATCCTGGGATTTCTGCAAAATTTTTGGGTTATCTAATGCAGCTCCTTAAATATCTAATTACTTACACGGCATAATTCTAAAAATTAATACCTGCTGTTTATTATTAATAATAGGGCAGCTAACACTTAGAGAATAAATCTAATTTAATTTTCATTAGTAAATTGAAAAAGTCAGGTTATGAATCAGAGTTTGCACCAAGTCTAGTTATTTCTTCCAGCACATTAATCAATCATATTCTTACTGGTTGTGCAATTATAGAAATATGTCAAATAAAAAAAGTTATTCTGGCAATGAATTAAATAAGATCACTCACAATACTTTCACCAATGTGCCACATTTTTGTGCAAAATTATATTTTATATTCGTTCAGACGTTTCATTGCCATGATAGGTGACATCATCAGTGGAGCATCCGATGAAGCGATGTTATTCTACTCCACTTGGAATTTATACTGTCCGGTCCGTTATGGTGAGTTGGGTCATTTCTGGTTTGGTCTGTATGGGTTTGTATATGGGGTCCAATTCTATATGTTTGTTGATAGGATCACGTGTTGAGAACCATGCCTCTAGGAATTCCCGTGAACGTCTACGTTTGGCTTGAGCCACTATAGTTACGTTGTCCACTTGGCATAGAGTCCCATAATGCAATCAACAAACATATAGAATTGAACACCACATACAAATCAAAACCAGAAATGACATACTCACCATAATGGACCAGACATTATACATTCCAAATGGAGTCGAAGAACATTGCTTCATCGGAGGCTCCACTGATGATGTTACCTAGTATGGTGATGAAACTTCTGAATGAAAACAAGCCAGCTCGGCGAGCAAGTCAACAACCTTACCCACAACCCGAGCTACAAATCTACGCCAAAGCCTCATGTTTTATATTATTTTTCATATATTTTCTTTTAAAAAGCCTCTCCTCTGGGAACGGTGAACAAGAGTGAAATATAAAGTTGCTCAGAGTCTGATTGGATCTGCTTCACAAGAGATCCTGAGACGAGTAAAGCTTGATCTGGAGCAATTGGGTCCAGTGGGTTAGACTGTTTTGTGCAGTATAGCTACCAGCTGGACAGCTTTGAAGCTGGCAGAAATCAGGACTGGGACTTGGAAAGTGGATAGCTGCTGTTTCCTGAAACTTTCCATTTTGTAGTTTTTGGCACCTGCTGTATTATTTAATTCACCGTTTATTGCAGTGCACCATAAACAGTTCGCAGTGTGCAAAATTAGCAACAGACTGGCAATGATTTCAATTCCTTGTCTATGTTACAGGTTAATAGCACAAGTTGAACTTGCTGCGTGAGTTTAGCCCAGCAGTCCCCTTGTATGGAATAAGCTCTTCATAAAAAGTTAAGGACCGTGATTCTCTTCACATAGGGACGCACTGACCATTTTGTGTTTCACAGACGTTTGTCGCATACTGTTACGAAGATACTTTAAAAGGCTGTTTAATTTCTGGAAGAACTGATCCTATACTGCACAGCAATGTTCCAGGAAAATGGTACTAATTCCCTTTGTTCTCATTTCCATCATTACCAGTAACAAAATATGCCAAATCACAAAGTACTGACAGGGAAATCATAGACAAAAGCAAAGGGTACACTGGTTGCCATCAATTGAGAACACTTAGCATGGAATAATGGAATCCACTCTTACCACTTTGGAGGGTTTGTTTGCCTCCAGCCAGCACTCCACTCGGAAGCATTCCTGTGGGAGTCAGGCCTTTCAGTGTCAGAACACTCTCACTCTCCTCTCTGGAAAAGAGCAAAACATAAACCAATGCAATTGGACGGAGACCTAACCAAGCTGATCAGCTCAGCTCACTGCACTCCCTGGTTGGTTTAAAGTACGTGATTACAAACCCAACATCAGAACAGAAAAATGCAGAAGCAGTTCCAGGCTATTCAGCCCATCAAGGCTGCTCTGTCATTCAATGAGAATCATAGAATCCCTACAGTGTGGAAACAGGCCATTTGGCCCAACAAGTCCACACCGCCCCTCCAAAGAGCATCCCACCCAGACACATTCCCCTACCCCTGCATTTCCCATGTCTAACCCCCCTAACCTAAACAGCCCTGGACACTAGGGGCAATTTAGCACGGCCAATCTATCTACCCCTGCACATCTTTGGACTGTGGGAGGAAACTGGAGTACCCAGAGGAAACCCACACAGACACGGGGAGAATGTGCAAACTCCACACAGACAGTCGCCCGAGGCTGGAATCAAACCCAGGTCCCTGGCACCGTGAGGCAGCAGTGCTAACCACTGAGCCACCATGCCGCCCCATGAGATTGTGACTGGTCGGATAATTCTCAACTCGATTTGTGTGCCTTTTCCCCACAACCCTCAATTCCCTTCTTGATCCACTCTATTCAAGCTGAGACAGACAGATTTTAATGACCCAGCCACAACAGCCCTCTGTGATAAAAAAATTCCACAGATTCGCTATGCTCTGAAAGAAGAAATTTCTTTTCATCTCTATCTTAAATGTGTGACCCCTTATTCTGAGATTATACCCTCAGGTACTAGACTCTCTCACAAAGCGAAACAATCTTTCCACAACGACCTCAAGCTCCTGAAGAATCCAGTAAAAGCATCTCTTATTCTTTTGAATTCCAAAGGGCTGTAGAAATACCTAGCAGCATTATCAGAAGTGACACCATTAATTTGCAAACGTGGTCTACATTATAATGGAAATAATTCAGACAGAAAGGCTGTAAACAATCTGATTGTCATATGCAACTAGCAGATTCACTGAAAGGATGAGATGGCAAGGCTTCCGGAGCAAGTGGGAAATTGTGTCAGCGGTAAATTACTCTTCGGAATTTCATTGTTTTGCATTGAGGGTTCTTGAGGCACTATGGTAGTGTTCTTACCTCTGAGCTAGTACACCCAGGTTTGCATGCCACTTGCTCCAGAGGTGTGTCATAAATCCCGGGATAGGGTGATTAAAAATGCCTACTTTGTTTTTTTGATCACTCTATTCACAGAGATGTTAATAACGCACCTCTGGAGAAGGTGGGACTCAAACTCGGGCCTCTTGACCCAGTTCTTTGTTTTATTATACCACCACCATCCAAAAAGACAAGGGCAGCAGTTACACAGGAACACCACCCCCTGCAAGTTCCCCTCCGAGCCACTCACCATCCTGACTTGGAAATATATCACCGTTCCTTCACTGTCACTGGGTCCAAAATCCTGGAACTCCCTTGGTGAGAGGAACCTGGATCTATCTACAGCACAGGGACTGCAGTGGTTCAAGACGGGAGCTCACCCCCACGTTCTCAAGGGGCAACTCAAGGACAGGAGGTAAATGCTGGCCCCACCAACGACATTCATACCCTGTTAATGAGTTTAAAATATCTGGCACGTTGCAGCCTATCCCATTAGTATCTTGTAGCAGAGTTGACAGATTACTCACCATTTGTGGGCGAGCTGCCACAAATACCTCAGGAAATGAGAAACACGAAGGCCTCTAGCTATGGTGTTCCAGCTGAATGCTCCTCTTCACACTCTGTGCACCAATCCTGCTCATTTGGGTTTTGTCACTTACCCACCCTTCATATTGTGGGGGTGAGCTGGGCATCTGGTGCTCTGGGCATCAGCCCTATTTTACATGAATCCCCCCCACCCCCAAACCTCCCAGTCGGGGCATGTGAGATTGAGCTCTTGGTCTTTCCCTGTGCTCTGGCAAAATTGTATCTCTTCAAGTATTTCTTAATTCTGTTCTGAAAGTTACTATTCAATCCGCTTCCACTGACTTACAGAATGGCTCAGCCAAATCACATCACACGGTGTTTAATAATAAAGCCACCCCTCTGCTTTTTTTCTACTTAGCTTATACCAATGGCCTCCTAATATTGACCCACCAACTAACAGAAGCAGTTTTTTCCTTATTTAATCTATGTCCCTTCTCCCACTAGTATCAAATACTGTAAATAAATCTTCCCTGGATTTTCTCTGCTCTAAGGAGAATATTCCTGGTTCCTCCCCATCACAGAGCTCTGACTCCTGGCTATTCCAGTAAATCTCTGTCCCACCATCTCACTGACATCTGCCATAACATCTGGCGCCCACTATGGCTGAGATGGGGCTGGGGTGGGGTTTGTCCCACGGAGTTAGAGAGCTCAAGGGAAGAAACAAGAATCATCGACACCGTCACTGCTTTCCATCAGACTGCGATGTTGACACTGTTTCTGTCTCTCTCCCTCCACAGATGCTGCCTAACCTGCTGAGTAATTTCAGCATTTTCTGTTTTCATTTTGTTCAACTCATGCCTTCAAATTCTGTCAGCAGAAGTGAAGTCCTAAATAAAACCAGAGTTACCAGGCAAGAGCCGAGAGGAAATGGAACAAGACCTACCGGAGAACAGAAAACATCTTGGCCATCTTGCCAATTGCCCGGATCTTGTTCCGAATGACCTCTTTGCGAGCAGCAGCAGATGCACCTGGCAAAATATCACAATGACCTTAGTCTCTGCTTGCTCACACACACAGCACACGCACACACACTGTACATGCTCGCACACACAGCACACGCACACACACTGTACATGCTCGCACACACAGCACA